TAGTTGTTATTCCTACTACATCTGCTTGAATCAAGGCTCGGCGGTTGACCTCTTCATGAACTGCATTTATGTCCCCGCGAAGATTTGCAGCGTGATCAAGAGCCTCGAAAAGCGAAGCGGTTTCGATTTCCTGCCACTGCTTGAACCAGCTCAATGCAAGAATCCGGCGTTCCGGTATCGAGAGACTGTGGATATTTTCATTCGCAGCGCGAGTGAGGCCTTCCAAGCGCACATCGTCAACTTCACTCTCATTCTGGCCTCTTTGGGTTGTCATCGATTTGACTCCCAGCCAGCTTAGTAATTTGTCATCAGTGACAGTTGTGAATCCTTCTGTGTCTGGTCGCTCTAGTTGTTTATGTATAATGGGCCATTTTCGGCGCAAGAAAAGCTCCATCGCCGCCCAAGACAGGCCCTTTTGAGACTGGTGTAGAGGTTTCATTGCGTATCCAGCTTTCTTCATGCAGTTCTCAAGTCTCCCATAGGACATGCCGAGGGTTTGCGACTCCACCCTCGTCTTCCCAATGCTTTGACTGACAACGCGAAGGTTCTTGCCTTCAAGCTCAGTGGCCTGACTGCGGCCACCAATGCGTATGATTTTCTGGATACCAACATCAAGAAGATGCTTTAAGAACTGGTCCAAGGCATGGTTGGTATAGCAGCTGTAATTCCCGTGAGTAAAGGATAAGAAGGCATGAAATCAGTACTCACATCACAACAATTGGACCTAGCTTTGCCTTTTCCTTGATCTCAAGGAGAACTTGAACAAGCTTAACACCCAAATAGGACTTTCCCGTGCCCGGTGGGCCTTGGATGAGGGCGTACTCTCGTGTGAGAGCCGCGATAAGTCCCTGACACTGGCCATGGTCGAGACCAGTTTGAGTTTGCAGTTTCAAGAGGTCAATGTGCTCGGGGGAACCCGGGTCCAATGCAACTTTTTCGGCTCCAACAATTGTGATCGAAGTCAGAGGAAAGAGAAATCCTGGTTTGCGCGCGTATGCCGGGGGAGGTATGCTATGACCATTTTCATCATCTTTACGGCCTGGCAAGATCCATTTCTGGAATGCCAACTCTCCTTCGCGTTGGATTCGTTGAAGGTTTTTTAGGATGGGGGCAAAAGTGGCAGGGATCAAGCCATGGAAGTCGACCAGAATACCGGTAAGCTTCTTGCTGTAAAGCCGGGCCAGGAGGATCAGTTCTTGTTGCAGGCATACCGCAAGCTTGACCGTAATACTAGGTGGAAACCTATCAGACACAAGACTACTCTTGTTCTGGTGCGCTCGGTCCTTCGAAGCATTCTTCACAGTGACCTCGAGGAAAATAAGCCTCCTATGAGTTTCTTGGGACGTCAAGAAACACACTAGGCTTCCTTCCTCTAGTCTATTGGAGTCTTGCCACCATCTGCATTGCTCGTTGGATGTCTTTTTGCGGATTTGTGGTGGAGTAGCAAAGGATACGGTCGCTTCGAGCTCTTTTCTCTCATTGATAAATATTTGGAGAACCTGTGCTCCCAGATAGAGATGTGCCCCGCTATCTTTGCTTGAGAGATATGAAAATTGTGTTAAATCATTCTGCTGCAGCAGATCTCGAAGGACATCTTTGGCTGAGCCGAAGATATCATGGCGCAGGAGTCGGAATGTTGAGTCAATGTGTCTTTGTAAAGGGTCGGGGAGAAAGTGCGGCTGAAGGAAGTTGGTAGAGGGTAGGTATTCTGAATTGCCGCTGATAATCTCTCCATGGGTAGGAAGGATCTGAACTTGAGAGATATCTGCGAGGTCGTTGTCGTGTCTCCCACCAGGGGTTTGCATATCCAGCGGAAAAGACGAAAGGGCTGATCCACTCTTCTGGGCATTTTCCTCATGCGCCCTGGGTGTATAAAGTCTGCTGTTTGCGCTAGCGATCAGGCTCTGCATAACTTCTATTCTGCTTTCAAGTCCGTCAATGTCGGCATTCGAGCATGTTTCAGTGATTTGGGAGCGCACTTCGCGAATTAGGTCGAGCAGTGCGGGAATTTCATCGTGGAATCGAGCGCGTCGGACTCTTGACAAGAGTTGGTATAGGGTATTCAACAGTAACTTCATCATGTCCAGAGAGATAACCGGTAAATTTTCATTGGTCTCTTCACCTTTACTCATTAGGCTCCGGCAGACACTTCTCAGATATCTGATTGCTCGATCTCCATTCGTACCACCAAAGGATGTGTACAGAGTGCCAACAAATGAATCGACAGAAAGACAGTTCAAGAGAGAAGCATGGGTAATGACTTTAAGAAATGGCTCGTCGTAAGTTGAAATAGGTCGCACTCCCTCTGGATTGTCTGCATCCGCAGTTGCAAGGATAAAATCATATCCATGAAGATTATCGTCCACAAGATCTTTGGCGAGGAATTGATGATTCTCTCTGCTGTCGCTTTCAAGAATTTCAAGAGCCCCGTTCCAGAATTGAACGATCTCTTCATGTTTCCTTCGAGAATATCCAGGCCCTGAAATGGCATTTCTAAGAAGTCTCTTCCAGTCGAAATATTGATTCCGAGCGTCCAGATCATGTGTTGTGGGATGGTATGCAGCCGGGTTTGACTTGAAGTCGGCAGCCTTATTCGCATCGTGCGAGAATCTGCACCTGTCACCGTAGTGGCACCTGCCACGCTGAAAGTGCACACAGAATGTTTCCGGCTGATTGCGCTTTCTGAAGCTGCTGGGTCCTCCTCCGTTGCTCGTATTGCCCCGAGATCGCCAATTTCTGCGGTGAGTCATCGTGAAAGGAGACAGCTGTAGAATTTGTAGTTCTTTTGATCCTTAAAACAGCATAAATATTTCTAACGCGGAAGGTTGCACGGATGGATGGGTGGAGGTGATTGTCCGGAGAAGGCAAAGATAATCTTGGATACGCCAAGCAGGTATCCTCTCTGATAAGAGGGACGTAAGGCTGCCTTGTACTTTGTAAATCTGATGTGTCCTAACATCTTGCAGGACAACTCATACCTGCATCACCCCTCTCTTCAAACTCTCTTTTCCTATGGTATGTAGGGGGATATTTCCAATATTTGCCTTTTATTTCCGCTGGCTTTTTTGTGGTACAAAGTTTTCAAGGAGGCTTGGATGGTTGGTGGGAGATGCCAAAATCACAGTATGGGATTCCCGTCGTCCGTCGTCCTCGTAGTTTTGGTGGGGAGGAGGGGGAATCAGTGTTCATCTGAGACTTCGCATCGTGGTTGGGTAAATAAAAACCGCACGATAAAGTATCATGCATGATGATGATGGTGGCTCGATTGACTGACTGGACTAGAGTGATGGTTGTAATCGTTACACCATTGGAGACAAACATTTTCCGTGATTTCACATCAATCTGCCTTACAAGAAGCGCCCTGATCCATGAGAGACGTAAAAGTGTCAGCGATCTCGTAGCGTATATGCTCGGTTGAGGGTCAAGAAGTGATACATTTCCCGCAAGCCAGGAACCATTGCGTTAAAGCTAGTTAATTCTCACGCATGGGTCACCATTGTACGACCTCGAAGTCCATGGAAGACAGCGCCTAGAGTGTATGGTGCCACATCTGACAAAATATTTAGCTGTCGCTCATTCATGCAGCTGAAGCAGCAAACAAATATTCCTCTCTGACATGTCCAGTGGTGCGGGGCTACCAATCAGTGGCCTCCCCTCCATTTTCTCCCCTCCTGGAGGGATGCCAAAATACCACACAAGGCAGCCATGGGTATCTTACCATCACCCTCCAACTCAACTCATCATCACGAGGCGTTGAACCGGAATTTCTAGCTGTACTTAAGACGTTAAGTGGACCGTACTGTACTACTTTTTTATTTTTGATCATCCTTGGACGTCTATGAAAGGTTTTTTGGATCAGAGGGGAGGAACTGGGGACGTTGTCTGCGGGATGTGGATACGGATCGCACTGTACCGCAGCGCGGTGGGTCTGAAAGGCCAGTGAGATCAATTATCCTTGAGCTGCTGCGGCCACTGTGTAGATAGTGCCTCAGAACCGCGGTGGAAGTTGGGTACGCACCGCAGTGCACCACAGCCACCCGTTTCTTCGCCAGCGAGGCTACAGTAGATGATGATGATGATTCATACGCTGACCCCTCGCCTTAATCGATATGCATCGCGACACATCCAAGTCCAGTCCCTTACTATCCATTGACGATTTACGCGCTTACATTAGGGAGGCCTACCTACCCAAGCACGGCACCAAGACTCGAGCTTTCTAAAATTTAATTTATCACTGACATGTTGAAAAGAAACGAGCTATCTATATCTCAAATTGCCCATGCTGCTGAGTATAGCCCCAGATCAGTTTATTCCATCCAGTTGAATCTGGAGGCCACATTCACCAGATCAAACGCTTTATTTGTAGGGGTCGACCATTTCGAGACTTTTTATGATCGTGGATGCGGCCGTATAGCGTGCAGTAAGGAACCCTAAATTCTCGAGCGATTTTGGCGATATTCGGGGTTTGAACTTGCTGTGCAGCTTGGAGGGCTGCATGTATTTGTCCATCATGGAATTTTGTGCGATTTTAGTCCTATTGGCTGGTTTGTATAGCTTCAAGATGATATTTTGAATTTCTGCCTCTAGGGTCAAACTGCCTCTAGGCCGCTGACCACCCACCGGTGGAAAGGGCAGATTTGTCCATGAGAAGAAGGTTTGTCAATGTTTCGTGACCGAGGCACATGAAAGTGGTGTTTTTCTCGTGTTACAAGTTTCATGAATGCACGCAATTTTTTAAAGGAACTTGGCAAAGATTGCCCGACGACCTTGGTTAGCCCAAGACAACTAACAGTGTACGGCTTACGTTATTCTTGAAGTTCTTTCTGTAATCCAAGTCGCACTACACGCCGTAGAAGAAAGATTTATGATTTTAGGAGTCAAATGATATTATCTGAACAAAAAGCACGATAGACATACATGACTCGTAATGAATTCTGCAGGTAATGGGGCAACAGCCAAAGAAGAAAGAAAAGAAAAGAAAAGAAAATCCACGAGAAGACCATGCCTCGCCACAGTATCAAAATCAGAGCACAGTTTATCACTTCCGTCAGCTTAGCGTGTCAGAAGTTGTACTTGTATTCACCCGACCATTTAGCAGAGTATTGGGTAAAATTATACTTTGGCCGTGTAGTCCGCCATGGTGGAGACGAAGCCGGGCTCAAAGAAAGTATCATACGGGAGCTCAATGTTGGAAAATCCTTGAGAAGATCATGAAAGGAACCTTGTACCCGAAGTTTGTTAATGCAATATGCAGAGTATTGAGCCAGCCAGTCCAATAAACAGTCATGCTGGGGGAGCCTGTAAAATGCAAGCCTTAACGCATCAACTACTGCAAGCTGTATATCCAGGCCATCTGGCTTGTCTAGGTCTGTAAGACATGTGGTCACCTTTTTATAAGATAACTGTTGAAGTTCATTGATAAGGTAAGTGTGAGAGAAAATGTATAGACGGATGTGGACGAGAAGGGGGTGATTCTCTGATGTGAAGTCTGTCTCTGGAGTTGTGACTGTCGACTTCCCGTTAATGCTCGCTTCGACAGCATCCGGGAAATGTTGAGCTTGCACAGTCTGGATTTTGCCGATCGGAGTTGGATAATCGCCTCGGTATGCCCATTTAACAAACCGAGCAAGTGTTTCTTCCGTTACCTCCTCAAACGCATAGACACCATTCTGGCCTTCTTTGAGTTCACTATCCAAGGCCGCGCTCAATGGTTTGGACTTCGAGCTGAGCAGTTTTCGGTGGATCTTGAATGGACATCCTGTTTGACCAGCCCGAAGAGAGGCGAATTCCGAATCTAAAAATCTACTATGCGTCAATGTAAATCATGATTGCTTGGAAGTAACTCATACTCAATGTACGGCAATTCTTGTTCTTTTGCCATTCTCTCACCAGATTCTTGAAGAAGCGACGAGGACTTTGGTGAAGGAAGTGTCGGGTGGTGATACAAGGTTGTGAATCCTGAAGGATCACTTAAAGTTGGCAAGTTTGAAAGTATGTTCTTCTTCTTTCTACCTTTCATTCTTCTTCATTTCAATATATTACGTGTTAAGAGTTAGCATGTGTTCCATTATAATTGGAGGAGAAATATCGATACCTTATTCGGAGTTATGTTTATCCAGAGCCGACAGTGACCGCTCACCCTGGTCTCTTCCCCAGCATGGGCAGGCAGCTCTACGTGGTGCTGGGGATTAGTACAGTATTCTTACGGACAACTCTATATGAGGGAATGTGAGCGCCAAGATTTTGATTGCGTGGTTTTGTTACCAGGATGGTTTCAGAGGGCAATACACATGAGTTAGCTTAGGTTGTCACGATAAACTTTACTATGCCTGAAAGGTCGTCTTGAGTTCCGCGCTTTATCGGAAAGAGGTGTACTGACTGGACTTTCAGTGCGTTGGGATATGAATTTGATCATCTTTGGGCGTTTATGAAGTTGTTTGCTGGATCGGAGTCTGATTCTTGGGGAAGAACTGGGGGACTTTCCGCAGTTGCTCTTTATTCGGGTGAGTGTCTGCGGGATTGTGGGTACGGACCGCACTGCACCGCAGCCACTCGTCTCTTCGATGGGTGGCCCTGGCTATTAACCCTCAAATGTCATTGGCCACAAGCCCCGGTTCCTGCGGCCTTTTCCATCTTCAAATCTCCGAAATGAGATTATGGACTTGATCATGCCCAAGTGAATGGAATTGTTAGTGTATATAAAGCGGTAGCATACCCATATTTCATAAGGTATTGAGTGATTACGCGGCGTGGAATGTGGAGATTCTGATGCATGATGCCGAATTTACTCCTCGATGAGGGCCGTACCTTTGCTGGAAAAGGCCATCTTCCGCTTGATGTGGAAATGATTCACTAATTAGACTAAAAATTGAGCACACTCGTTATCCTAGATAAATACGTCTTCTCCTTATGGGTTATTGAATTTACACGTAGCTTCACGCAGTTGATGTCGTAGCTGGGCCCTGTCTGCAATGGCTTATACTCCGGCGGCTCCGGGGAGTAATTAGCACGTTGCCTATGATGAAATAGCCAAGGATCTGAGCCCGGTGATATTGATGATTCAGAGCTGCTTCCTGCATCCGGTGAAGAAGCTGGGTCTCCTGAGCCGGCTACGGAGGGAATAATTCAAGCTCTTGGGTCTGCTGTTGCTGAAAAGACAGAAGTTCCTCCTCTAGTCCGATGACTTTAGCAAAGTAGAATCAATAACCTCAGCCAATCTTTTAAGGCAGAGCATGGCGTCGATGTAATCTTGCTTCCTCGATATAAAAGTCTGGTCACTGATTGCGGATAAAGACACCTCGCAAGAAATCAACAGAGTCCTTATATGCATTGCATGGTTGATGTCGCTCATCGACAGTTCGCCTAAATGGCTGCAAACGAGCTCATTGTGCTTCTCATAAGAATCAATTAATTGAGCGCGACAATCATCTGCAAGATGCTCTCCTCTTATAAGGGTCGCAGATGCCCGACCAAGTAATATTAATACCTCGTCCTTAATTGTCCGGATGTCGCGTATGATAGATGGTGTTGATAACTGAAGGCCCGATAATTGCTCTTCTATAGTGCGTTTGTCGGGAACTAGATGAGTCTCACACGCAAACCAATCCTTTTGCTCATTGCCGCGTAATACAAGCCACGACATTACGTGGTCATATAAGGGGTCTTCTTGAAAATGTCGCTTCCAGAGAAACAAGACGATTTTTGCGATAGCGAGACCACTAAAGTAATTGGCATTCCCAAACAATCGTTTTAACCACCCATACAAAGCAGTGGACGCTTTAATCTGTGTGCTGCGACTTTCGGATGGGGTCTCATCTGCAAACCCAATAAACTTTACACCGTTCGGGTACGGCTTCTCTAACACTCGTGAGATAACGCTCGCAGCTTGCCATGGTTCGTACTTGTGGATGTCTTCGGGCCTTCTTTCACCTTTAGTGAGACACAGCTCTCTTATCTCTTCCGCTGTTTCTGGAAGAGTAAACTTGGACGTCAGTTCAGAAAATGCAGCCACAAAATGGTACATCAGTAACGCCCTGTATTCGGGTCTGCAGTCGGCATTGTTCACAGCGCATGATGGATGAAAAGATTGTAACACGACTGTGGTATGATTGTCGACAATAGAGCTTTCCTTGCGCCTAAGTCGATAATCTTCGCCTGGCAGCTCTATTCGCTTCAGCCACTCGTCGTGATATGCGTCACGATGACATCTTAATATAACTTTTGGTTTCTTCGCCCTCAAAATTTGCGCGAGGACTTCATGACATTGTTTATCTTCCTCCGTTGCATATTTATCAGGTCGATAAGAGAATGCGTCCAGTACGGTGACAGTATGTATGCTTCGGGCACCTTTGCTAGCGAAGCGAATGAGTTCGTCGACCGCTAACAGTGTCTTGCAACTTTTGATAAAGTCTTCGAAACTGACGTCGAATTTGTGGTCTCTTCTGTGGCGTGGACGTTCTAATAGAACTACGATGTCCGAAAAGCCGGCTGCCAAGTTCTGCGCCTGAGTGATTTCGTCTTCAGGTCGAAGTAGAACTTTGCCGAATTTCTCGAGTATCTCCATGGCTTCGTGATCTCCGCTGATAGGAAGGCAGGCCGGCGGGGCACGAACTCGGTCTTTCATCGAAAGAGGAACAGGAATTTCGAGGCATGTTTGGATATCGTGAGAGTGCATTTTTAACATGTGCGTTATCAAAACCCGCTCTCTGGGGGGCAGCAGATATATGGAGACGTCTGAAGTGAGCTGTGCTGGTCAAATTGGTGATCATGATGCGCTGCGCTTCAAGGCAGCGAGTGGTGGGCGGACTTCATTATGATCGAGACTAGTACATTTGAAGTTAGCGACGCGGACTGCGGGTACCCACCGCAGTGCACCGCAGCCAACCGTTTTTTTGCCAGCTAATCTAGCAGACTCTGTGTGAGGGAATGTGAGCGCTAAGATCTTGATTGCGTGGTTTTGTTACCAGGGTGGTCTCGGGGGGCTAAACATATAACCTTATCTCTCTTGGCTGGCTGTCTTTTCCAAGTCTGGGCTCTCGTAGTATATTCCCTTATAAGAGCGTTCTCACAAGAAGGATACTCTCTTAAAATAGTTTTCTTAGTCTAATAATCTTAAGTTAAATAAATATATATGGCCTAGTATATAAAAGCTTACTTATAAAATAGAATATATAAGGTGGTCTAGATAAAAAGGCATTCATATCCTATATTATAATATAAACTACATTTCTTATTTCTTTCTTTGCCTTAAGAATCCCTACCCATAGTTATAAAAGTAATATTTTATAAGGTTGAATACCTTGGTGCCTTAAGGGTAAGGCAGCGTGAAAGCAATTGGCTAGGGATATTAAACATATGGTGTATTCTGCTTAAAGTGTTGTTGCTGGGATTCAGGAGAACCCCCGCGAGAATATGTTTTTATTATGTGTTCACTAGGCTATGACTAAGCACCTATTCTGACTAAGTATCTTTAAAAAGATTCTATATAGATTCTTATAATTATTTTCCCCTTTTAAAGGCCTTAGTCCCTAAGATATTTTATAAAATTAATTAATTAATATTATTAAATTTCGCGAGATTATTTTTTTTACAAAGGCTGCTATTTTATAAGATTACTGTGCTGTATAAACCTTTTTTATAAATATAATTATTAACTAATTCTTTTTATCCCGCTAGGACCCTCTATCTGGTAATTTTTAAATATTAATACTTAGTTTACTTTTTTTTATAATTTTATAAAAAATATTATCTCGCGAGTTATTCCTTTCTAGGTTTACAAGTATTAACTGCCTTACGAGCCCCTAGTACAGTATAATATAGATAATCCTCGCGAAGGTATACTCTGCCTAGGATACCCTGTTTATAAAATCTATTATAGTTAGTTTTATAATTTTTCACAAATATATTTTATATATACTATAGACCTATCTTGTGAGATTACTTTTTTATCTAGAATATTTTATTTATAAAATTTATTATAGTTAGTTTTCTAATCTTCTTATAAAGCTGGCCCTTTTATTATAGAAATTTAATTAATATAATTATTTTAATTTATTCGCAAGTTTAGTATCTACCTGGGATGTCCTGTTTATAAAATCTATTATAATTAGTTTAACCTGCCTCTAGTAGACCTTGTGAAATATTTCCGCGAAATATCTATAAAAACTTTTTATTACTAAAAAACTCCCTTTAGGAGAAAATAGTTATAAAAAAAAAAGATTACTTTAATCTTCTTTCTTACTGCCTGTATAATATTAGCAGCTTGTAAACCTATTAGATCTAGGTCTACTGTTATAAAATCTATTATATTTTATTATAGCTGCTTTTATTATTTAGTCCCGTGAGGCCTTAAGTGGACCTTCTGAATTAAGTATTATTATATTATATTTTCCGCATTTACTGCTGAACACCTAATTCTATATTATAAAAAGATCTTTTTTATGATTTCTTTTTTTTCTTTCTTTTTTTTCTTTAGCAACTACTATTCCTAGTAAATTAACCCCTAGGAGTTGAGCATACTTTTGCGAGATACAGTATATAGGATCTGTTTTGCTTTAATCCTACCTTACTTTCTGTATTACAGGAATTTACTTCCTATTTTACTTTCTGCATCACGAGACTCTGTTCCTATCTTATTTTCTGTATCACGAGACTCTGTTCCTATCTTACTTTCTGTATCGCGAGACTCTGTTCCTATCTTACTTTTATATCGCGAGACTCCTTATTTCAGGTCGGATTGCTGATTTCTGGACTTATTTATAGGTTTCCTACGTGTAGTAAATTATAATACTATATTTACTGCTAAAGTTCCTTAAAAATATTAGTATTATTATTATACCTCCCCCCCTGTTTTTTAAAAGAATATTTTTTTTTTAAAAGACTTTTTTTTACAGGTTATTATTCTTTCCTGCTTTAAAAATAAGTCTAGGAAATTTTAATTTCTGTACTAGTACTTATAATCTTTTATAGATAGTATATATTAGCTAAATTAGTTTTTAGTTTAATTATATAAGCGACTTATAAAGCTTTTTTAATTATATTTTTTATATTAGCTGGTCCCTCTGGCGCGATAATCTTTATCTTATATATATTATATTAGCTGTAGATAAATATATTTTTTATTATAATCCTTTAATAATTATCTACTGCCTACTATCCTACTGGGTTACTCCTAATCTAAATTAGCTGATTTAATTAATTAATCTAGTTAGGTTATCTATAATCTAATTTTTTTATTAGTTTTATATAACTAGACCCGTGTCTCTCTAAAGCCTAGTCGGCAGGGAAGCTTAGGATAGAGCCCTAGTACTATTAATAGACTATATTATATAAAATATAGCTTATATAATTAAACTATTTATATAGGAATTATATCCTCTGTAAATACTTATTTTTATCCTTGGTTTTTTTCCCTGGTTAGGCTTAGAGAACCTAACTACTTATAAATAGTAATAAATTTAACAGCTGATATAAAGATTTCTCTTATATTAAAGAGAAGTTTTACTTGCCCGGTTTATCCTGCGTATTTAGTATTATAAGAGTTATCTTGTGACTCGTGCTGGGGTATAATCTTTTATTAAATATAATTATAGATAATATAATCTTTTCTAAGATATTATATTTTAGGGTCCTTATATTTCTGGTAGGATTAAGCAAAAATATAATAATTATTTATATTATAATATTACCTGTTTATTCACGAGTAAATAGGTATTACCGGACAATAGTTATTCTATTATAATATATTATTATATTTTTAGTAATATTTTACTCTCTAAATATATAAGACAGTTAAGGCTTTAATATTAATAAAATAAGTTTATATTATTAAGATTTTTATTATTTTTTTTTAAAGAAAGATTTTTTTTATTTTTTAATATAAGAGTAGTTTTTCTCTGTTTATAAACTACTTATACAGGTTTAAATAATATAAGTTTATTATAAATTCCCAGATTATATTTTCCTTATAAAGATATTTCTTTTATTAAACTAAAAATTTTTTTATCTTATTTTAAGTTCTTTTTATTTAAAATTTTTTTATATAATACTCCCGGGGCTTTTTTTTCTAATAAGTTATAAAAAATTATTTTATAGATTTTACTTCTGGTATCTTTTAATACTTATATAATAAAAATATATAAAATATATTATATACCTTAATCCTTGCAAGAAGTTTTAATTAGTAAACTTACTTTCTAATTCTTTTTACTATATATAGTAGTCTTATACTTAGTTAATTAAGCTTTTTATTTGGCTGTAGGCTTTACTAATTTTTTAAAAATAACTAGACTAATTAATCTTTAATAAATATTTTTGCTTATTTTTTCTAGTTATAATACTAGGTCTAGTACTCGCGAGTATATTCTAATAATTTTCTAGTTATCTCGCGAACCCTTTTAATTTACAAAACTTATTTTTATATTAATTTTTTTATCTTTAGACTTTCTTATAAATCTAGGATAATTATTTTAAAATATTTCCTGATTAATATATAAAAGAGTGATACTTAAGTTAAGCTTTATTAAATATTATTATATATAAACTCTGCGAGGGGAAAATAATTAATCTAATTATTTTAATTAAAATTAATATATACCCGCAAATATTATTTTAATATACTGTTTAACTGTTCTGTCTGGCCATTTATTTAAGGATAGTATATGGTATTTAATCCCTGCTTAATTCATAGATAATATATAAATTTAGATTAAAAGTTTTTCGTAAATATTAACTTATAATTAATAATTACCTTCGCGGGTATACTATAAAATTTAAAGATCTCGCAAGTTAATACTTATACTAACTCTTCCCCGTGAATTATCTTTTTTGCGGGAATAAAGTATGCTATTTTAATAAATTAATTTATAATTATTAATATATAATTAAAAGAGACTCGCGAACTGCTTATTATAAGTAGGCTTATAGAAAGATTTATAATAAAATTTATTATTATTTATTTTTAGATCTTTCTAAGGACTAGTAATAATTTTAATAATCTATATTATTTTTTATAAATTTTCTAGCCTTCCTAACACTCTTTATAAGTTATATAATATTTTTTAATAAATATTATTATTTATAGCCAGTAGAACCTCTATAAAACTAATTTATTAGTTTTTTATAAGATAAAGTGCCTAGTAAATAGATTATTATAAAGTTTTATTAGGATAACTAGCCTTAATTTCAAACTGTTTAAAATATAAAACTTATTTTTTTAGTACAGCTAGTCTCCGCGAGACTTTTATTTTACTAGTTTATTCTTTTTCTTGCTTTTGTAACAGATAAACTCTTTAGACTTTATAAATTTTTAATAGATTTTTTATATAAAAATATTTATTTAAAATAATTAGGAAATCTTCTTTAATAATTTTTCTAAAGGATTTTTTTAATAAAGTCTTTTTTTATAAATAGCTTTTATAATCTATATTTATATCTTAGCCTGGTCAGCTGCAGTAGTTCTTTTTATAAAGATTCTTTTTATAATTACCTGTTTTATCCCTAGATCTAAAAGATTTATAAGCTGCTAGAAAACTTTAGTACTAAGCTCCTATATATTTTTTTAATAAATAGATTTTTTATAATTAGGTTTTTATAAGAGTATATTTACTGGGTTTTTTTTTTTAGATAATATTTTAAAATAAAGAAAAAGCTTGTGAGCCTTTATATCTACTATACTTATTTTTATAATAGTTCTTTTATAGTAAAGTAATATAATATATTATAGTCTATAAAAATTTTAATAAGATATTTTGCTTCTTCTAA